TGACCTTTTAAAGGTGAGGGGTACACCAAATTGTACATCCTTTTTACATTTATTTGAGTTCCTTTGAACAGTTTCTGATCTTTTATAAATCAATAAACTTAAGGTCTTCTAATCATCTCTGATATCTTTCCCCTCTATTAACAACCTCTATTCATAGAACATAATAGTTTTTAAACAAAAACCAAAGGTTTTAGTCATCATATATAACTCCTTTTTCTTCTTTACAATAGTTATGCTCCCTTAAAAGATGTATATTTGTTTTGAATTTCCATACCTCAAGTATGTTACTTTATACTTTTTAATACTGAAACTCATTTTCTACAATCTCATCTACTCGTTAAGATTGTTACTGTCCTTCTGAATTAAAAGATATTCTTTACAAAATCAGCTTTATAAAGCATTTAAGTATCACCAGAAATATTATTACTAAAGTAAATATCCAAACTGTAGTTACATATTGTAAACAACAAAGCTTCTGAAACAAATCCCTGAGGAAACATCATCACTATTTTCTCGGTCATTATCTTCTACTTTCTTCTTCAAAGAGTATTTTCTATATTAAAGTTTAACTTATCTATTAGTCTTAAATGATAGACCTTATCAAAGTCCCTCTGAAAGTTAAAATCTGTTTTCCACTGATAAACAACATCAGAACTCCCATCAAACTTAATAAATTGGTAAATGCAGGAAAACATTTCCAAATGATGCTGAGTGTTATTATTTGCAAAAAGGCTCTTCTATACAATGGATGAAAATTCTTAAAACATTTAATTGTTTGGAAATATTCTTATAATCAAATACACATACAGGGTTTGGTTCCTTTATTAGAAACAATATCTAATAATGGGTTGGACCATCTTTTATCCAAATAAGAGCTATGATATAACATGGAATAGAATCCACAAGGGTTTTCTCCATTTAATTATTAATATTATAAAAAATTCATGGGGCAAGATAGGCATGGGTTAATAATGGTGAATGTCTTTCAAGTTCATCCCACAGATGCTCAACTGAAGTAAGATCCAGGGATTGTGAAGGTCAAAGGAAATATCATTATGTTGCTAAAACTACACAAGAACAACTTAGGCAAGGTGGATGAAAGCACTGCCATCTTAGAAGAAGCCCTCCTCATCAATGGATGCACTTGTTAGAAATGACATTGACATAAGCTATAGCATTCATTCTGCCTTCTAAATAGACCAAGAGTATATCAGGAAAACATGCCCCAAACCATGACCATCAGAAGCCTAGACAGCTGGGACTGTAATTATCATTACTTTCTGAAAATGTATTTCCAATAGGTACTTACATCCTCTTACCCAAAGCTATCTCGTTCCTGGTCTGTTTTGTGCCATTTCAGAACATGTGCTTATCATGTGACTATCCTACACCAATTAGCTAGCTTCTCTACTCTAGAACAATCCTCACTTTCAAGAATTGGCAGGTACAAACCAGAAACACTGGCATATCAGTGGGGAGGAAGGGTGGGAAGTGGGTGAGTACCTATCGGAAATACATTTTCAGTGTAAGAAAATGTTAATTTCTGAAACGGTCCTACTTCTTCTCAATCAAAGCTAGAATCCTACATTGCAAAATTGGAGGGGCCAGTGAAGACACATCAATATCCAATCAAGTGGAAAGCAACTGCAAGAATATGAAAGGAAAGCACACCTGTGGGGTATAGCACTATTTCTGAAACAGGTATGCTATTCACCCAGTAATCAACAAAGTAACACAAAGAGGGTGGAACTGAATAGGGCCTACCAATGCAATTAGTAAAGAGCTGTACAGCACTGAATCAGTGTAGAAGAGCTTTAGAACCATGACTTGAAACAGCATGGCATTGACAAACACTGAAAGTCTAGTGTGTAAGAGACAATGAGCTTGTATAAATATATGCCAAGGGTAGTGCCTTGTGATATATCAGAGTATGTTAAGTGAGATTCATCCAGGCAAAACATTCAGTGGAAACACCTTGTACGAGATATTGTGATCAAGTGCAGTCCTCCTGGGCAAAAAACATCCAGCAGGGGAAGCACCTTGGATATGTAAGATTATTAAAAAAAAATACAGGTATGAGTGTTATCGTGAGAGTTTTCATAACCAGCTCATTGTCATCATACTTTGTCCACATATGTAGCAAGACGTAGTACCGAACATTGTGATAGTGAGCCATAGTATGGTGCCTGAGAAAAATGAAATAACCATACCTGGCTAAGGCTGAAGGACCATGAATTGTATATGACTAGGCCAAGTGTGGTTTGCGCCGGCAAAAACATCCAGAGGAAGAGCCTTACATAAGAAATATATGATCAACAAGTGTGGTCTGCCTGGGCAAAAATATCCGGGGGAAGTTCCTTGGATACTAAATACTATTGTAAAATTCATTGTTTGCTACTGCAATAATTATAACAGCTATAGCCCTCTTCTCGCCAAGTGGGTACACATGGGCAAGAAAGTTTTATTGAGTTTTTCAAAACCCATTCGAGAGGAAACTCCTGTGCTCCACTAGAATAGAGGGGGGATAGTAACTTTTAGTTTACAAAAAATATATTGATACATATACCATTAGACAAGCTGCTGGTGGTCTTACAGAAACACCCCACCTCAACAGTGAGAATTATAGAAATATTCATATTTGGTGCAAGTATAAAGCATACCTGCTAAGCAACACCCACCACCAGGTGGGATCATGAAATATGATATGTATCAATTAGAAATATATAGAAGAAGTAATATGCCGACTTATCCCAGTCAAAGGCAAACAGATGTGTATAGAATAGCCACAGGAGGAAGACACAGCCAGGTTGTACAAATAATGTGCAACAAATGTATTGAGAGTTGTCCACATCCCAGCCTGAATAATCTTCTCCAAAAGCTAGCAAAGGCTAGCAGCTAAAGACAGTTAGATAACAAACTGGGTGTGAAGAAACACTGTACAGATGGCAATCTTCCATGGACAAGTCAGAATATGCCAGTCATATGAGATGACAAACCCAATCAGTGAGTGTAATAGGGGACAGATCATGGGATACAGAGGAAATCCTTGGAACAAACAGATGGGAACAGTAACATAAAAGAAGGCAGTACGAGCCACATAACATTTCAGGGAATGAACCAGACAAAGAAGCCTATCCAGAACCAAACAGGAGTACAGGAGGGAAATGGAATGTAAGGAAATAGGAGAGAAGGCCAAACCACCTTCCCAGGTGGCAGATGTCTAGGGAAGGAAAGCCTGATCAAGATAGAGGATAACATAAGAGGAATGGAAAAGGATGTGGGAAATATCAATGGCATATATATCAGAATGACAATGATCGTAAACAAGGAGTAGGAGGAAGGGGACTTCAGGGGATGATGGTACAAGGAACACGTTGCAATGGGTTCAAATGGAGAATTGGACAGGGCATGAAGGGCAAAAGTTTGATCCAATATGGCAAAACAAAGGAATGTGGAGGATGGACCAGACAAAAGAAATGGAAAAGGGAAGAAATAAAAGGGGAAAGAGATCTTTCTGGAAACAGGAGAATCGGAAGGTGTTCGACAGGGCAGCTCTATAACTAGAAATCTTGATCAATGAACAAGGCAATAAACTGGGAAAGAAGAGATAAAAAAGGACAGGAGGGACAGAAGCCATGGCAAACAGATCAAGGTCTGAACATAGACCACCTCCTCTGGTACACAGACAAGGAGAATGGTCAAATGGAATGGGAAAGGAAAGACACCACATGAGGGTAAAGTCCCTGAGCTGAGTCCAGGGACCAGACAAAAGCCACGCATGAAGATGAAGTTTGGTGACATCGAAATGAATTATGTCTGATTGCAGTTCATACAGGAGAGACTGGAACAGAGGTAAGGTCAGGGGATGTTGCTCGAATAAGGACCAAAGCAGAGGGAACCATGTCTGAGGAGGCCAATACAGAGTGACAAGCAGAACATGACAATGAGTGTTCTGGATAAGAGAAGAGACTCTGAATAGGAGTCTGATCAGAGGGTGAGCAAAAAAGATGAAGACCCCTCCAAACCGGACTGAATGCATCTACTCCCAGAGCTGAAGGGTGAAGAACAACTGACCAAAAGGAAGGAATTTTGCATTACAATGAGTGGCAAACACATTTATATGAGATGTTCCCAGTTGAAAACACACCCACTGAAATAATGGTGGAAGAAGGGACCACTCCATGGGGAAAACCTGGTTGGGTCGAGTTAAGCAATCAGCCATCAGATTCATAATCCCAGGAATGTGATATGCCAAGATAGCCATGTAGTGGTCATGAGCCCAGTAAAGAAGATGCAGAGTCTGAAAACACAGAGATCTGGCTTTGGTTCCCCCTCTTGCTTGGTGATATAGCTAACGACAGTGGAACAGACAGAATGAAACATAACCATCCACCCCTTCGAGAGTGGGAAGAAATGATACACAGCCCAACAAACTGCCAAAAGTTCCAGGATGTTGAAAACAGAGAGTAGCCTCCTTGACAGACCATTGACCGAAAATCTATTGGGAATCGAGGAAAGCCCCAACCCACCAAGGGGAAAGGGTAATGGGATGGTCCAAGGGATTGTGGAATGAAGTTCTTTTGGTCAGGAAACGTCCTCTGATGGCACCTGATAGCTATGCACTCACAGACGTGCCTCTGCTGAATGCTAAAATATCTTTGCTTTCCTAATATCTGTTAGAATGATCTACAAATGTGCTTGTTACAGTCATTTCTAGTGCTACAGGAATCATCAGACACATCATGTGAGCAGGTTAATTTGCATCTGCTCAGGCCAAAGTCTGAAAGGGTACATAGTTCCAAATAAACTGGTCCGACTCTGTATAAGTAATAGTTTAAGTTTTAAAGATTCATTACATTTAGTAGCTTAAGCATAATATATTCTCCTTAAACTATAATAACTATTAGTAGTATAAAGTTCAATGTATGAGGTGTGTTTTTTCCATGTCTGCAACACACAGTTAACTGTTCAGTTACAAAACAATATGTTTCCAGCTTTACCATTTATCCCTATCTCCTTTCTCCACTTCAATGTTTCTCTTATCATGTTCAGACTATCTTCAATGTCTTCTTTTTGATGTTTGATAAACCTGGCACAGTACCAGTTGTCTTGTTTTAGCCTCTCAACATCTCTCTGATCATAATTATCTAAAAAAAGAACAAAAGATCTGTGTTATCAATCAGTCTTATTCAAGGTCTGTTTGTAAATGTTTTATAGATAGTAAGTTTTACTTACACCATTATCACACATGGATAATTCTGCTAGCTTGATAATTGCCCTAGAAGTGTGGAAAAAAACACATGGGAATAAAAAATTTATATTATACAAGAGGAGAAAAGTTTTATTTTTAACCTATGAAATCTCTTTCCATGTAATGAAACTGAAGTCATTTTAAACTTCAATGGTTTTATTTCATTTTGTTATAATTAGGAATCAGTAATAATAGAAATTAAAACAATTCTACAATGAAAATGGTGGAGAAGCAGGTGCTGACCAGCTACAAAGATGAGTGCCTTTATGAAAGAGTAACAGAAAGAGAAAGTCCATAATTTGTGACTATCATGATCCTTCTCTAGCAGGAAGTATTATTCACCCAATTTGTTAATTATTTAATCATATATTACATTTATATCAAAAGAGATTTACTGTAAAGAATATCTGGTAAATATATAATGCCAGTGGTAATGCATCACAAAGGTAGGTTGAATGTGAGATTGTGTAATGTGGCTAGAGTGTCAGGTTGTTCCATCTTGGTGAAATATTTTTGAGATAGATATTGTAACAGGAGGAGGATGGAGAAAAAAAAAGAAATCCCCTGTGTCCCAAGGCAAATACAAGTCCCATCCAGCTGGATATATCACTCAGGAATTGTTTGGAAGATATGTAATGGGGTGTCCTGTACTCACTTCCAGGGATATTGGGTAAATATTTCCTTTGAAGTAATTTCGGCCACTCGGCAGATTCTGATGATACCAAGCATAAGGAATAAATGGTGTATTTCCTAATCTAACATTTAATTTGATGAGTCTTCCTTCCTCCTGTTCAGTGTTCTTTTTTATTCTTTTTACTGAGGGACTTGCAATATGTTGAAATGTTAAAAAAATCATGGCACACACATGGAGGTGCCATGAGACATGAATGACACAAAGATGGCTTAAAAACACAACAGGAAAAATTCACCACATTAATGCCTCTAGGTAGACTGTAGAATAGCAACCAGGGGGAGGAGAAAACCAGAAGCACAGGAAACTGACCAATGAGGTAAGCAATGGCAGACAAGTGTGTGCAGTCCACATACCAGCCTATAAGATCTCCAAAACCCAGCAATGAAAAAACAAGTCAAGAAAGACTGTAATATACTGCTGAAACTGATGGAATGAGATTCAAAAACGTATACAGTCAGACTTACCTAAAGAAGAATATGTCAGATGGATAAGCTTACAAACCAAACTAATTAAATTTGAAGGGGACAAGTCCTGAGAAAATGAGGTTTGCCAAAGTAAAAATAGATAATAGTGGTTTTCATATAAAGGGGCAATCTGAGCAAGATAACCCATAAAAAACACAAAAGACAATCTGGATCGGAATGATCATACACTGATAAAATAGAGAGGAGAAATTTGGTAGAAAACATTCTATTGCTCTTTCGGGTAGCCCAAGTCTTCAGAAGAAGGGAGCAAACTGGTCCCTATGATATAGAGTACATGAGATAACTAAAATGTAAATTCTGAAGAATGATGACCACAAGCAAGGAGAAGGAAATAAAACACCTTGAGGGACAAATGACACAAAGAATAGTAGGCCAATGGCTCAAACGGAGGGCATGTAAGAGCCCAAAGCACAACCATACAAAGGTACAACATTAAAAATTTCTATTACTGCTCAGAGAAATGACATTTCTTAACACATCAAGTTTTCCTTACAAACTATCATCTCTGCCCACAAAAATTAAACAAAGAATTACAACATTACAAAATTACAACATGTTCTTTCTACTAGTTATAAATATATCCAGCATACAAGAGGTATGAATAAATAAGTGGTTTGAAATGCATGAAAAGATGGAGGGTGCCTCCCTGACAAGTTTGACAAAGTTACAGGTATCTCAGTAAATCTAAAAGGTTGGAGGTTCAAATTTTATATTCTTCCTTGTTAATATGTATACTTTATGTTTTCACTTGGTTAGGAACCAAAGAAGCTGTATTGTTGAAGTTATAATATCTATATTTAACTGGGAAAGATCAGAGGGCAAACATGTCATGTGACAAAAAGTGAACTTTTTTTTTTGAAATTAAGAAATTAAAACTTATTTAAAATTATAAACTAAATTTTTGATGTAAAATTTATTGACATTCATTGACAATAAAGTTGTTTAATCAAGTTTGGAATGCAAGTCTGGAAAAAGGTTGTAATGTGAATTACAAGGTCATCCAAATTAAGAAGACCCATATGCATAGGGTTTTTAAATGATACAGTAAGTGAGAGAAACCAGAACAGTGTATACAACAGATCAAGCTATGAAGGCAAGCTTACCTTGATTAATCTTTAAAAAGTACACACTGACTCCCTCTACACTCCTCTACTGAACCATTACTTCAAAGTTTGGCCCAAAGGTGTGAGTATAGGAAAATTATTACTTCCGATATGGTACTTACCAAAATCCCACATTGAGAAGGAGGAAGGACCAGTGCGAGGGAATGATAGAAGTAGCCCCAAAAGCACCTGAAGGATACCCGTTACAATGAGAGATATAGATCTGAAGATCAGAAGAGGAGAATCGCACCACTTCTGAGCCAGGTATACTCTTCACCAATGTGTGGATTGTATAAGACATAAGGACTGAAATTGAGAGATGTAAAGTGGCTAGGATGCAGTGGACTGTACTCAGTAAGTCAACTACATCCAAAAACTCCTCACGAGATACCAAAATCTACGCAAGGGTAGGATGAGGATCATACTGTCTTCACCTCAAACCCAAAAATCAGGGATTAAGACCCACATTGATTTCTGGGTCTGACACGGGGATCATCTATGATCTAATGATCCGGAAATTGACAACTGGTATTGAAAGGTTGTCTATTGCATGGAATCAATTTCTCCAATCATGGCACAGGCCGGAACCATCCAAAGGCAATAACATTCCCGAAAGAAGAGAATGAGGGATAGTCAAGGATAAAAAGCATAACAATCCCATGTACTGATACTGTGACACATGACACAGGCAGAGTAATTGGGGGAGGAAGATAAACAACCTGAACTCGTGTAAGGTCTTATGATGATTGGTTCACTTTAATCCAAGACCTCTTCTTGGGGTAACGACTTCTATGCAAGGGTAGGATGAGATCTCCCAATCGAAGGGGTGAACTGCAATTTCAAAGGCTCAACTCCAGTGTTTATATAAATGGAATCAGGAGGCCACATCATCCAATATGGTGATGGCTAAACTCCAGTGTTTGTGTCAATGGAATCAGGAGGCCATGTCATCCCGTAAGGTGATGGCTCAACTCCCGTAGTTGTGTAAATGGTATCAGGAGGCCAGGTCATCCAAGAAGGTGACAGTACAACTCCCATGGGTGTGGAATTGTTATCCGGAAGCCACATCAACCAAAATAAGGTGACAGCTCAGCTCCAGTGGTTGTGTAAATGGTACCAGGAGGCCATATCATCCAGTAAGGTAACAGTTTGACTTGTGTTTGTGTAAATGTTGTCAGGAAGCCATGTCATCCAGTATGGTGACAGCTCAATTCCAGTGGTTGAGGAAATAGCATCTGGAGGCCACATCATCCAGTATGGTGACAGCTCAACTCCTCTGGAGGCCACATCTCATCTGCACCAGCAGAATACCACCACTCTATTCCCGACTGAATGGTTCTAGCCCTTTCTTTGTGGAACTCATTCAGGAGGGTGCCTCCATGGTCAATCACCCAAGCAGCTTGGGACTGGAAAGTGGTAAGAACTCCCATTTCCACTTGAAGAAAGGAGGGTGACAATGCAATGGAGAATCCAGAGGAATGTCATCACTGGAGACAGTGGAATGGGTGACCACGAAACCTTATTTTGAAAAGCAGACCATATTAAGTTATTCACTCGAGAAATGGCAGGGATGGGCAGCAATCCCCTACTGCTTTACCCATGCAGTCCATGGGTGATACGGTCCAAGATGGGCATGTTTATGAAGCAAAATATCACGAGGTTATTCAACATCATGCGATCTTGTGGAGCACCCTATCTCAGAGCAGGATCCATGTGATAAAAAGGGAGATAAAGGCCCCTGAAAAAAAGAATGAATAAAACTTGCCAGTTAAAGTCACACAGAAGTCTGGAGAAAGGCCACAGGTGGTAGATGAAACCTCAATGAAGAGGAAAGCACAACATGAGGAAGATAGTGGGAGGTGAATGTACTGGGAGTGGTCCACATGCCAAACTGTAGAATCTCCTCCATCAGATGACGAAGACGAGAAGTGATAAAAAAGTGAAATGTTGGATCTGATGGGAGGAAACCTGGAACAAGGTAGGGAAGAGTAGGCCAAATGAACCAAATTGTTGACCCAATTAGTAAGGGTAGAATATGAAAGATCACTAAGGAAAGACAATCGCCATCGGATAAAAAGTCAGTTGCACGTACCCCGAAAGGTAGTAGTATGTGCTACATAACAACAAAGGGCCCTGACCAGACACAGAAGCCTATCTGGATCCGGTCAAGGGTAAAGATGGTATATAGAAGAAAGGGAAAAAGGAGAAAAGGATGAATAATTCTCCCAAGTTGCCGAGGTCTTAGAGAGAAAGGAATGATTGAGATAAAGGAGAAGATAGGTAGGGTGATACTGGCTATGTGAAATGTCAATGGCAAACAAATCCAACCATTGACATCCACAGGCTAAGAGCAGAAGGAAATATGTTTTAAGGGACAGATAAAACAAGGAACACAAGGGAAGTGGTTCAAACGAAGGTAAAGTAAGGGCATAGAGGACCATATTAATGTTCCAATTTGGAAGGGCAGGATGCCTAGGAGGTTGACATATTCGAAAAAAGTGCATGAGCATAGTAAGAACAGGGGAAGTAAAAACCCAACAGTATTTGGAGAAATACAGGGCCACCCAATATCTGGAAATTGAGGAGACCAAAAACACATGGTCAAGGAGCCAGTTGAGAAGGCTTGTCAGCAGGAAACCCCCTATTATCAGACCAACAGCAGAATATTTTCCACTTGCTTTGGTATCCTTCCATGGAAGATAGCCATACTGAACTAGCTAACAAGGAAGTGACTTGACGTGTGAAACCGGATCATCTCGCTAAGGACTGGACAAAAGCCAGGAGTGAAGTCGCAGGACATGGAGATTGGGGTGTAGAATGTGGGATTAAGGTTGACAAAGAAGGGAGGGAGAAAGTGGAAGAAAGAAAGTTGTAACCTTGAAAACCAAGATTGAGCTGGCCAACAGGGAGCAATCAAAAGGACCCATAAGAAGTGGACAAGAAAAATCACCCGATGAAGCAACCAGATGGAAGGGTACACATAAAGATATTTGTGTGACTAATCCTGGCTGAAGGCATCCAAGTGGGGAGAACCCTACCAATGGCAAAGATCCCTGAAAACAAGTAGATCTAATGCCCACTACATTGGATATATCTGGTTGGGGTGTGAAAGACAATCTCTGAATAGATTGAAAGCACCCGGCACATGACATGTTATAAGGTGAATGTGATGTGTGTGGGCCCAGTATAGTAGTTTCAACTTCCTGGACTGGGAACCCACTTGGTGGTTGATATGTGTCACCACCATAGAATTGTACAAATGAACCATCACTAAATAATTACAGGCAAGAAGAAGAAGGAAGTGATGCAATGCCTAATGTACTGCTAGAAGTTTAAGAACCTTTATATGCAAGATGGTTTCATCCGCAGACCAACGGCCCAAAGCTTCCTGGTGATTGATCCATGCCCCTTATCCCTGAAGGGATATATCCATGAAATGATGTAGATCGAAAAGTGGTGAGGAAGCAGCATGCTCCCTGATGTTTGGGCTTTGTCCAGATAGTCTCGCAGGGAAGTAGGAAGGGAAATGGGGATGGAAAGAGAATCCCGAGCAAGGTTCCATCATTTATAAAATCCCCACTGAAAGGATCTCATCAGAGTACGACTGTGAGGGACAAGTGCAGTCATGGATGACCACATCCCCAAAAGCAATAGAATCTCATGAGCAGTATGTGACTGAGAGCATGGTATACCAAAAGTTTTATTGAACAAAGACATAAAGAAGAAGGCAGAGCGTGACTGATATTCCAGAGATGATGTGCAAAAGCCCGGACTATGTGATAAAACACATAAAGGGCCAAAGCAAGTCCAATGAAGAGGGCCCAAAATTGATAAACCACCCCGAGATGGACAAACCAAAGGTAAGGTCAAGTCTCATGTGCTATCAGGATGTGGAGATAAGCATTGGAGACATTCATTTTCATCATCCACAACCTTGCCAAAGGCTCGATAGTTTCCGGGACTGTATCAAAGACGTATCATCTGAGAAAAGGTGCAAGATGTAAATCTCCGAGATATGTTGAGGGTAAATTGATCAGAGCTGTATCCCAACCTATAAGGTCCCAACAACTAAGAAACCACATATGTAATGCCAGAGCCAAAAACAAAGTGCAGGCTAAAGTAGAGAAGAGAAGTGTAAGGGTATCTGCAGAAAACCCCCAAAGACTTCTGTGGAGAGCTTCTGAGAGGAGATGTATGGAAGAAAGATATTGTAAAATTGGTTAGGGTAAGACATAGGTGAGAATATTGGGCATGGGTAGGATTAACATTTGATTTGGGAACCACCCCCAAAATAAGTAACAATGAACCTAATAACTGCTGATCTAAAAACGGGTAGTCCGCACAATGGTAAGAAAAGGCAAGCTAATCACACGAGACAAATTGATCTGCATATACTCAAATATCAGGGGAGGGAGGAAAACAAAAATGGGTGAGAAGCTTGTTCATGTAACAAAGAAGGACAAGGTGAATAAGAGATAGGGGAAAGGGATAAAACATCACAAACCTTGGACACAAAATCTGTATCTATCGAATTAAACCTAGGTGATTCCTCAGTCTGCAAATGGGAAAGAACAGTGAACTCTAGAAGTGGGAATAGACAATCAAAGTCCTCATGATTATGAATAAGTTTAGCCGACTCAGGAGGAACATGGGGACAAAGGTTGACCCATGTAGTGCTCAATCTCCCGACATATAAAAGCAGAGAGATCCAAAGTGGTAATGTGAGCTTTGGAATTCATAGCACAAGAAAAGGTTCACAAAATTTGAGTGCAGAAATACAGTGACAAGAATGAACTGGTATAAAATAAAATAAAAAACCACTTCATGTGAAAAAAAATGTTCTTGTCACAGTGGAAGCACTAGGCACACAAAAGAGTATGTCTTAACTCAGATGCTGCCAAACGAGAAGTGAAGGTTCAGTAGATGAGTGTAGAAGGAGGCACATGCATTATGTGAGCATATCATGCTACTATTGGTTAAGAAATGACACGTGATGATTTAAATGAGGGACATGTTGGAATATAGTAATTCCAACAGGGAGAGGAGCAGAAGGACTGTGGCAGGCATAAAGAAAAAGTTCGCATATAGAGGGCAGCACTGAACAAGAGTAGCTAATCTTGTGAGAAGAGATAAGCACAGTATCGGAAACAGCTATATTTAGCCTAGCCTATACATTTCACAGCCAATTAGCAAGTTAACTGGTCCATTACCCAGTACATATTGCAACTGCAAGGATAGTTTTCAGCATTTGTAAACTGGTCTATTCAGCTGCTTAACCTGACAACAACACATTGAAAAATGCATCGATGATGAGGCTGGTGATTAAGATATGAAATTTAATTTTTAATATTTTGATTTCATCTATAAATAATACATTTAAACTAAGCTGACATAATGTACAGCCTCCTTGGTATATTATTATAAAACAATTCTCAACTTCTTTGCAAACTTCAATCTATTAGGAAAACAAGAATCATTCTCATTAGTATTAAATCAATATGTGTGGCTCTGGTTTCCTGTCCAAACAAAATAAGGCAAATAGGTAGGGATTTTTTTATGCCAGATATTAATAAACTGAGGTGTAAAATGCTTTTTTTTTGCCTTGTAGTAGAACAAAAATACTTAACATTTTTTTTTTTTTTCTTATGTAAGGATGATCTGGAAACCAGAACCATACTTTTTTTTTTCAAACCATAAGTGGAATAATGAGATTACTTTCATCGTTCATGTTGATTCAAACTCTTGAAAATCATTGATTAGTGATTACATAAACCAACATGTGCTAGCCTCATACCTTTCCAATCAGGTTCATTCAGTTCTTCAAGTATTCTTTTCCTCACTTCTGTAACTAATTCCAAGTTAATAGAGGTGTCATTTGAGATACTAGTACTGCTGGTGGTATCACCTCGAGGACTCATTACTGTAGTTTATCTATTTCAATGTCAACAACTGAAAATTGATGTCAAAACATATAAATATTTCAAAATAAAACAACCTTGACTATACTGATTATTCAATAAACTGCACAAATAAAATGGAATCCAGGTATTATCTGATTTGATGTGGTTTCTATACTTCATATGTGAGCCACTTGCTACTATTTTTTGCAAGTCTTTGAACAGTGGGCAGGTTCCATGGGAATGGAAGTTGGCTAATGTTACTCCTCTTTTCAAAGGAGATGATAAAAATCGTCCCAGTAATTTTAAGCCCATTAGTAAAATGTTTTGTTTTAGGTTTTCAGAATTGTTATGATTCGGGTATTCTTTTAATGGGTGGTTTGGCTAAATGGTGGAAAGAAAAATGTTGGATATGAAAAACTGTTTTATTAGAGGCATTATTTAATTTTTCAAAGTGCAAGTTTTTTGTTTTTTTTCTGCAAAACTATTTCTCCTTTAGTGTTGTACATTTGTAGAATCATGACATACTTGGTGCTGTTAAAAATTTCTGAAATTTTTGCTGGGTGAATTACTTGAGGTTTGAACATGAATGACATTTAGTTTGCTTTTGTGGGTAAAAGATTCACCTCAACAGGCTGGATGTTTTTAGCTTCTGTTACTTTCTTTAAAATTCTTAAGAAATCTCAAAACATCAGCACATAAGTTTAAGTGATTTACACTGCTTTCCCTGAATACTACTGCTAATAAAAGTTATACCATCATGACTCATAGTGAACAAATATCTAATAAAATCCAATATATGTTCACCATTCTTTAAAATTTTTAAACCTAGTTTCTCTAAATACTATCTTATAACTTCAGGTGAATACAAGTTCTGGAAACACAAACCAAACTAAATTCTCTTGAGCCATAACTAATATTAGTAATAATGCCTTTATCATGTTAATGGTCACCAGGGAGGAAACAACCTATTTGAAATTGTCTACCAATATAATAGTGTGGCTATGTGGTAAAGTGTCAATGTTATACAAGTTATATAACTTACAGTCCTTTCCTCTCTGCCATTCAGAAAAATAAATTAGCTTGTCAGCTTATAACTGTCACTCCTTAGTACTGTAGTGTAAGTTGAAAAGCTAGTGAGTAACATACTTTATTTATTGAACTAAAGGAATGGAAGATAAAGGTTAAAAACTGTTATGAACATTTATTGATTTAATAATCATGATTAAGTATATTTCTCAACCAACTTGTCAATTTAGAAAGAGTACTGACATTTATAAAATATATATGCAATATATAAATTCCACAAACAATTTAAATTAAATTGCAAAATTAGACTAGGCGCATCGTATCTTACTTCAGTTGCAATGCAACGCTACAAGATACAACTTTACTTTTGAAGGTCTAAGCTTCACATGTCATTGCAGTCTACAGTTAGTATATATTTACGAAATGGATCACTTCCGCGTTTTCCGACCAACGGTCCATAAATGCAAATTTCAAAAATAATTAACAAAGTAAATCCAAAGTCCACTGTCAAGAGTTGGTTAATTATCAAATATACTACTAGATCTGAAACATATTTTATTAATTTCCATGTCATAAATTTAATAATATAAAAATAAAGAGAAATAAAAATTCAAATTTACTTACATGGTTACAAAATAAAAAATTTAGGCCTATGCGCTCCTTATTATAAATATAATATACTCATAAAAAAGTCATAGAAATTTCATATATCTTCACTATCACTATATCAACGTTTATCATTTGTAACATGCCTCTTGAAACAAGTCCTAGCGGAGAACAAATAATATATATCTTACAAAATAAACCATCTCAATAAAAATAAATAAAAATATTGAGGATACAAGTTAAACATAACTGCAAACGATCGATACTATTTAAATTAATTAATTAATCCAAATTTGAAGATAGTTCAAGCAAAACATCCCTCTTTGATACCAAATGAGTTGGAACTTTGTAACAGGATTTAACCCAAAACCTCTTGCACTGTGGTTCAGTGCTCTTCCAACTTCGCTATAGGATTACTCATCCCAGCAGTTCTTAGTGAGGTGCTTTTTAAACCCTTTCACTACGTTGCGCTGTAGCATCTACAGCATGATAGGTTTTGTATTTGTGCATTGTGCCGTAGATTCTACTGAATATACTAACTTCCTTTCCCACATATCTGCACACAGATGTATTTGCCGTGGCTACGCACATAGTGCATTCAGGTCAACCTCCAACTTTTTTTAGTATTTGTGTTACACGTTATGCAGATTACATAACTCTTAGAGTACGTAACAAAGTAATGTGACTATTACATGCCTTTAGCAAGATAACATACTTTTATAAAGGTTTTGGGATAAATCCCGGGATTTTCCCTACATTCATTGGCCTACTTCTGAAGCTGTACATCGCTCTTTAGCCATGGTAAGCCTAAAAAGAAAGAGAGCAAGATCAACAAGATGTACAAAAGGTTCACTTCCCTATTATCCCAGAAAATTCGTATCAGTGAATGTAAGAAAAACCCGCGAATTTATCCAACATAAGTTTCCAATATTGAATGATGTTACATTATCTTCTCTTATGTATAGTTTAAGGTTTGATGTAGAATAATCCAAACTACTTGTTACGTCTCTGGTCGTTTGTTAATTTCCCGTAAAATTCTTCCCGAGGAACTTCAGCGATACAAGTCCTTTACTTAAATAAAC